ACAGGTTGAGTTAGGATTTGGATGAGGTCTGGGGGTGTTAAGGTTGGGGTTGGGTTCAGGTTGGGGCATGGTTTGATTTAGGTTGGGGTTGGAGTTCGGGTTGTGACAAGGATTAAGGTTGAGGTTGGGTTTGGGCTGGGGATCAGATTAGGTCAGAGCTGTGGAAAAGGTTAGGGTTGGGGATGGATGAGGCTTAGGGTAACGCTGAGGTTAGGATTGGGGTGTATTTTAGGCTTAGTTTAGGTTAAGGTTTAGATAAGAGCTAAGTAAGTAAGGTAGGTTTGTGGTGAGGTGTGGTTTGGTTAGGCAAGGTCAGGCTTAGGGTTTGTTTTAGGGCAGGGTCTCGATTTGGGGCTCCACACCTTTGCGTGCTCCCTCTGCCTGCAGCAAGAGTGGAATCTGATTCCCACCCCTGCTGTCAGGGTTCAGGTCCCAGAGTATCAGTGGTACCTCTGAGGTCCCCTGCTCCTGCTCTGGACCCTGATTGGAACACAGCCCCCAGCTCCTCCTTCTGTGGGACCTGCCCTGTCCTGCACTGCCCAGTGTCCAGGCTCCATGAATGCCTGAAGTTCTCTGGAGGACAGCTCAAAGGAGGACTCATCAGGAGCCAGGCCGAGGCCAAAGGTAGATGTGCAGAGGGAAAGATGGGGCCAGAACACTCAAGGGTATTGCAGGGAGAGAGGGACGGGCTCATGGGGTGGGGCACTAACTCCCAGGGAGAAATAGCATCCTCTCACAGTGAAGACAGAGAAGAGCTGGGCCAGCCATGCTCCCAGGTCTCAGGCATGTTGAAAGGAGGATGGTCGGTTTCCCCAGAGATACCCGGGCCTGGCAGGGCCTTGCAGGCACCTGGCAGAAAGGGGAGCCTCTGTCTGTGCCCTGTGCTAGCAGATGACACGGAGTCTCTTTTCTCCAGGTCACAGATGCTTCCAACGACATTTCCAGATACGTCTCCAAGGAACAGTGGGCCAACATGGGAGAGTTTCAGAAAATACCCTACCGCAGCATGAAAAACAACTGCAGTGAGATGCTCTCTGTAGGTGAGAAGAGATTGTGCCCCACCCAGCCTAGGGCACAAAGCCGGCCTCCCTGCAGGCCCCTGTCTCACAGTTCTGTGTGAGGGCAGCATGCAGCCCCCTCTCCTCAGGAGTCAAGGCTCCAGGGAAGCTCTGTTGTTGGGCTCAAGGCAGAGCTGAGAGCTGTGCTAGCCACACACAGAAGCCATCTCCACTCCTCAGCCCACCTGGCCTTTGTGTCTTTCCATGGCTAGTGCCTCTGTCCCTCCTTCTGAGATGTTCTTGCTCTTCATACAGAAGCTCTGAGTCCTTCCCAGGTCTGAGAGCCCAGCGGCCAGCTTTGCTGCAGTGTGGAAGGCGAACCAGCCAAGCCCCACTGGATGACTCTGAGGATTCTGACACAGAATGGATGCCTTGGTGGCCAGGTGAGGCCAGCGACTCGCAGGTCAGCCCAGAAGCAGGCCAGGTCTGTGGCTCAGACAGGGCTCAGAAGGAAACTAGTATCAGGATCTCCTAGGAAACACAGGTGCTGGCAAACGAGCAGGATGTGAAACAATATGTATAATAAATGGCTATTTCTATATAGTTTTCAATGTGTGAAAAACTGTGTGGTGTGCGCATGTATATAATTCTAGATACAATAATAGCAAGTGAAAATAAATAAAATAGGATGGAGAGGGAGAAATATCAAATCCCAAATACTGACCGTCACAAGAGGAGGAGAAAAGGCTGGCAGGTGGCTTTATCATAGCTTAGTTTTTGTTTTCTTTTACATTCATTTTTGTTTTGAGATTTTGAAATAGAAATAAAAACATTGGGTGGGGGGAAGGAGCTGAGTCCTAGCCCAGGCCTGGTGAGAGTGTGGGAGAGCTTCCAGCTACCCTGCGCCAATGGGTCCTACTGGTTCCAGCCCAGGCCCAGTGTGGGTGAGACCCTCTTCCACCCCATTGGGTCCCCCCCCAACCACTCCGCAGCACCTCCCCTACCCAGCCTGCTGAGTAGGAATTTCTGCCGCGTTCCGGGAACCCCAGACCCAGTCCTAGCCCAGGCCCAGAGAGTGCGTGGGAGAGCTTCAGGCTACCCTGTGCCACCGTGACCTACTGGTCCCAGCCCAGGCGCAGTATGAGTGACACCCTCTTTCACCCTCTTGGGACGCCCCCCATCACTCCGTAGTACCCACCCAAACCCCGCCCACAGACTAGGAATTTCTGTCGTGTTCTGAGAACCCCCAGATCCAGTCCTAGTCCAGGCCCGGTGAGTGTGTGGGAGAGCTGCCTCTCCTCCATACTCTGCCTTGTCCCCTCCAGACTCAGCTCAGACCTGGCATACAGGCCTGGAGTGAAACCCTACAGCTGCAATACCTGCAGAAAGTGTAGGGAACAGAACCACCCAGCTAGTCCAGGAGCAGAACATCGTGCCAGAGGGGCACAAAAGGTTCACCCCAAGGGCAGCAGCAGGAAGGAGCTGAGCACAGCAGCCAGACCCAAGCCAGGCACAGATGGACACATCCAAACTTTGTAGATCTGCACCAGAACTTCAGTAGGTGCTATGGTTATAACTGCAACAAAGATCTACAACAAAGGTCAAAAGACAGTGCTACACAAAATGACGAGAAGGAGCAAAATGCAATCTCAGAACCCAAGCCTACCCATAACAAGTACAGAGGACACTAACACAGAACAAATTGGGAATCACACAGCTGAAAGCAATGAATCAACAGCTTCTGAAATAAAGAAACAGCTGCAGAAAGGAATAGAGGAACTCAGATTGGAAATGAAAAAAGAATTTCCTGAATTAATAACATCTGCAGTAAAGAATCAAACGCAGAAACATATGGAGGAAAACCAATGCCCACCCAGAACAAGTACAGAGGACATTAGCTCGGCTCAAATGTATGAATTAATAGCTTCAATAGTAAACAAGCAACAGCAGAAAGTCATAGAGGAAATCAGAGCGGAATTCTTTTCTACTAGCTTGGCTCAAATGTACGAATTAAATAGCGTTGATAGTAAATAAGCAACAGCAGAAAGTTAGAGGAATTCAGAGCGCAATTCTTTTCTGAAATAAGAAAAGAATTCTCAAAACTCATAGTATCTGAAGTAAAGAATCAACTACAGAAACATAGGGAGGAAACTCAATGTGAAGAAAACACTACAGTAAAAGAACTTATAACTGCTTCTAAAGAAGACATTGATAAAAAGATAAAGGAGATTAGAAAAATGAAAGATTCCTTGAATGAGCAATACAGGAAAGAAATAAATCGCATGAAGCAGAGTCAAAGAGATAGAGAGGAAAATAAAATCTCAATCACAAGCTTGCAAAACGTTTAAGTGAAAGTGAAGACAGAGTTTCAAATCTTCAAGACGCTGGTGCAGCTAGTGAAAAGGTAAGAAAGGATCTCTTAAAAAGAACTAGGATGCAGGAAAAAATAATCCACCACCTGCAAGATGATGCAAAGATGAACAATGTGAAACTAATAGGCATCAATGAGAAGCAAGGAGTCAATACAAATGACATTTAAAAAATATAGGCAGAAGTAATAGCAGAAAACTTCCCAAATATGAGGAAACAATCTGACATTCAGGTAGCTGAAGCACACAGAATGTCAAGTAACCTCAACCCAATTAAAAACACACCAAGACATATACTAGTCAAGATCCCAGAAATTCAGCACAGGAATAATCTACTGAAAGTCGCTAGAGAAAAGAAGCAGATCACATTCAAAGGAAAACCCATCAGAATTATGGTTGACTTCTCTTCACAATCCATGAAGGCAAGAAGAACATGGAGCAGACTACTTCAGGTCCTCTATGAAAACAAATTCCAGCCCAGACTACTATACCCTGCAAAACTCTCTTTCAAGTTTGATAGAGAAGTGAAATACTTTCATGACAAAGAACAGCTAAAGAATTTCATGATGACAAAGCTGACACTACACAGGCTACTGAAAGATGCTCTAGAGAGGGACGAAAATGATGAGAACTCCACGAACGAGATCAGAAACAACCAACTAAATAGGGTAAGCAATTAAACACAGGAGAAAAAGGAATAAACAACAACAGGTAAATAACATGTCAAATGTAAGTCAATACATCTCAATTCTAACCATCAATGAAAATGGACTCAATTCACCAACTAAGAGAAATAGACTGGCACAGTGGATTAGGAAACAAAATCCAACAATATGTTGTATACAAAAAACACATTTAACTCAGAAAAACATTCATAGGCTGAAAGTCAAAGGATGGAACACAACACTACATGCCCCAGCACCTCAGAAAAAGGCAGGGGTAGCAATACTATTCTCAGACAGTCTCAACTTCAAACCAACAATGATCAAGTGAAATAAAGAAGGCCACTATATACTGGTTAGGTGAAAAATTCAAGAGGAAGAGGTAACACTCATAAAT